GGCTTCTTGTTCTATAGGATGTAGAGTTTGAGATTTATTAACCTTTGGTGGTGTACTTTCTAGGTTTTTTCGTGCTTCTGGTATCCTTTTTTTGATGTTTATTCATTTTGCCAGGGGTTTTCACAGTGCCCAGATTTGACCCTATTGGCTCAGTTGGCCTCTAGTGACTTGTGTGTGTGGTTGCCTCGAGCCTTGGGCCTCTTCGGGGAGGCTCCTCTCTAGTCAGTTTGGACTCTGCTGGGCTGCTGGATCACAGGACGGTACCGCAGGTTGTGTGGTCTCTTTTGAGCTTCTACTTCCCGTGTAGAATTCCTCTCTGTTCTGTGTGCCTTGGCGCTGGCTGCTGGATCCCGCTGTGGTGGCCCCACAGGTTGTGTTTTCTGCTGAGTTGGTGCACTAGATGGGGCTCTTGGACCTTACAGGGGCCGCCCGCAAGGTGTGTTTTTTTCCTGCTGAGTCTCCGCCTCCTGAGTCTCCCTCTCTGAGCTGGAGCGTGTCTACTGCAACCCCGTCTATCAACCGTGTCCTCAAGCACCTGCTCAGCTCAGCCCTGCCCAGGAATACTTTCAGTTTCTCCTGGACGCAGTCTACCTGTCGCTCTGGGTGGCTTTGTAGCACTGAGTGGGGGGTTCTCAGCGTGAGCTCCTTGGAGGAGGAGCCCGCAGCACACAGTTCCTCTTTGAATCCCCCTGGCGCAGATTGACTCCCGTGCCTGCCTGAATTCAGCTCTCTGGCAGGCTCAAGTAAGCCCGGGAGTGTTCCAACAACAGTTTTCCTAACCAAAAATCGGCTAGGGGTTTTTCCGAACTGGTGCCCGCAGAGGTGGTATCTGCTTCCCAGCAAAAGGAGGTTAACTGGGGGCGGAGCCCCGGGTGTGGTGGAGTAACAATTGGCCAGGCCCGCTTTTCCCTGTCTCCCGATGGCTGACCAGGGGCTCCCCACGCCACCAGCCCCACCATAGAATCGTGGAGGGAGTGGGATGGGAGTCCGGCCCGCAGGCCCTGGAAGGCCCCGTGCTGGGTCAAGCAAGTGGCAGGGCTCAGTGAGG